TATTCAATAAAAAATCTTATCAATCTTGACACATCTTTAAGATATTTTTTCGTATTATCCTAAATAGTTTTCTTTTTGTCTATGATTTGAACGTATATTTCAAATAGAGAAACTAAACCTTAAAAAACTAAGTCCCTATATGCTGTAAATAATTTCTAAACTAATCTTTGATAAAGTCCATTCAAAAAATGATATTATGAGACCATTATTGGTCTTATTTAATCAATCTATGCTAAAGATTGCCTTCTATTCTATGTAAGGGAATCAAATTCATAGCCTGAATATAGTCATTTTTCTTCCATATACTCATATAAAACAATACTAAGTTATAATCCACTCTGAATATATTATTATGTAATAAGTATAATATTTGTTATTGTTACTTATAAAAGATAAACAAATTGGTTAGCTGAATATATCTAATAAAGTAATTCAATTAGATAGATATAAATTCTCCCGTATTTCTTCTATATCTTGCTTTTCCTCATTCAGTCTTTTTATCCAATACTTCTTTTAATATGTACACTCTATTCAATATTTTTGTTTAATTCTCCAAAAATCATCCAGTTTTCTTATTAAAATAAAAATTGTACTTCTCATTACGCAAGTTTATTTTGATATTTATATTAGATCTTTTTTCATAGGCTATTATTTAAGTTCTAATATCTTCCTTCTATTTCTAAAATTTTAGTTTTTTACCATATCATTCTTTATAAATTTTATGTATAGACATATCTTTTTAGAAGTCTTATATTGAGATCTACTCTCTTACTTCAAGAAGGGATTGTCCAATCAAAACTCATAAATCCCTGATCCAAATAAGTATATAAAAATGAGTTTTTGTTTCAGCGTAATATCTTTCCTTAATTAATTTCACTCATTATCAAGAGTTTTCAATTCCCTTCTTTTGGGTATTAGAGGCAAAGGGTATTCTTGAAACATCTAATAGTCATTGTATTTGTTTATTTAAAAAATAGAAATTTTCTAATCCAAATCATCTATATGAATATTCCAAGCAATTTCAAAATATCATTTGTCAACTCCATTCATATTGCACCATTACCATTATATCAAATAACAAGATTTGCAGCTTTGAATAAAATGCCGTGGTTTAAGTTATTTTTAATAATGCTTTTTTTTACTTCTGTTTATTTGATAATTTTAGTCAAATATTCAATCGATTAACGATGAGAATTAATTGAAGGAGGAAGTAATGAGAAGAATGAAAGAGCCTTAGAAATCTTAATCCAAAATCATTTAGTAGGTGTAGCATAATAATTGTATATGGTTTCTTTCTTTTCATCCTTTTTTTACAATAAATTGTTTCCCCAACTGGAAAACTTTTATTGCTCATCAATCTTTTTTAATAAATTTACCATAAAACAACTTTGATTAACTCATAATTTTTTTTAGGGTTGGCATCACTGGTGATAAAATTAATTCTGGGAATTCTCTACTAAATTTTTCTGACATTCTCGATTGGGTTGCTAATAATAGTATTTTCAAATAGAAATCAAAAGCAAGAGCTGGTAGTGAAGATTTAGAAAATAGGTAATTAGCGATCATAAAGTCAAATTTAGGCTTAAGTTTTAGGCATTTTAGCCTTTCTACATTAGTTATATATCATTGGTAAGCTCGTCTAAAAATATCCTATATTGGAACCTTTTGGGATACTTTTATGAATAATATAAGATTCTAAGAAATTATCAAATAGTCATAACTTATGAAGCCCCAATATGGTGAAGGTAAGGATTTGATTTAATCAAATAGTAATGTTTTAGAAATGATTGAGGGTACTCCACTCATGAATTTGAACCTCAATAACATATCGGCTGTCCAAATAAGGAATTTGGAGACAAATATTAAAATTATTTTTTAAGAGATTTACCTTGTTATTAATTAATATTCATATTATATATATAACTAATATGGAATATAAAGCAAATTGGGAAATATTTTAATGCTGCTATTTCATAATTGGTGAATATATTAACTAAAGAAGATACTGCACAAATATGTTTTATCTTTTTTAATTTTATAGTTTATTCTAATCAAAAGGAGAGCACATATTTTTCGAAAATATTTTCTGAATGTTAGTCGATAAATGTATGATTAACTTACAAGTAATTCAATATTATTCTAAATATTTTCTTCAACTGTTTTCAAATTTAAATCTAACTACTTGATATCAAAAATAAGAAATTCAAACTAAAAAATTACCTATATCATATTAAATATTAAGTTATATTCTAGGAATGGAATGGGCTTTTTAATAATTGATATTTTTGTAAGAAATATTCCCAAAAGATTTTTAGTTTTATTATCTATTAGCATTCAATTTAAATCTTAAAACATGCAAGTTCTGATTTAGTTAAAAAAATACCATATTGAATAAATAAATTAATATTAATTATTATAGTTAATTAAATCTTGGAGTTTAGATGTTAATTTATAATAATTTAAGCCAAATATATGGAATTTTACATTATTAAATCATTTAACCATTTTAAAGTAGTAAATAGTTTACTAAATCACTTGAACTAAAATTATTGGAAAATCTTATAAAATAATTGTTTAAATATATGAAATAATTTAAAATATCTTTACCTGAAAATCAAATAATTTTTGTTTTATGAAATTATTTTTTTAGAGTCGTGACTGTGACTGTGAATTTTAAATAGAGTTTCATAGAAAAAGTATATTTAAATTCTTTTTTAGATTATTTACCTTGAAATTTAATGTTCTTATTGAATTTCATAATTAATTACACTATCTAATTAAATTAAATGGATACTNCTATATTGGAACCTTTTGGGATACTTTTATGAATAATATAAGATTCTAAGAAATTATCAAATAGTCATAACTTATGAAGCCCCAATATGGTGAAGGTAAGGATTTGATTTAATCAAATAGTAATGTTTTAGAAATGATTGAGGGTACTCCACTCATGAATTTGAACCTCAATAACATATCGGCTGTCCAAATAAGGAATTTGGAGACAAATATTAAAATTATTTTTAAGAGATTTACCTTGTTATTAATTAATATTCATATTATATATATAACTAATATGGAATATAAAGCAAATTGGGAAATATTTTAATGCTGCTATTTCATAATTGGTGAATATATTAACTAAAGAAGATACTGCACAAATATGTTTTATCTTTTTTAATTTTATAGTTTATTCTAATCAAAAGGAGAGCACATATTTTTCGAAAATATTTTCTGAATGTTAGTCGATAAATGTATGATTAACTTACAAGTAATTCAATATTATTCTAAATATTTTCTTCAACTGTTTTCAAATTTAAATCTAACTACTTGATATCAAAAATAAGAAATTCAAACTAAAAAATTACCTATATCATATTAAATATTAAGTTATATTCTAGGAATGGAATGGGCTTTTTAATAATTGATATTTTTGTAAGAAATATTCCCAAAAGATTTTTAGTTTTATTATCTATTAGCATTCAATTTAAATCTTAAAACATGCAAGTTCTGATTTAGTTAAAAAAATACCATATTGAATAAATAAATTAATATTAATTATTATAGTTAATTAAATCTTGGAGTTTAGATGTTAATTTATAATAATTTAAGCCAAATATATGGAATTTTACATTATTAAATCATTTAACCATTTTAAAGTAGTAAATAGTTTACTAAATCACTTGAACTAAAATTATTGGAAAATCTTATAAAATAATTGTTTAAATATATGAAATAATTTAAAATATCTTTACCTGAAAATCAAATAATTTTTGTTTTATGAAATTATTTTTTTAGAGTCGTGACTGTGACTGTGAATTTTAAATAGAGTTTCATAGAAAAAGTATATTTAAATTCTTTTTTAGATTATTTACCTTGAAATTTAATGTTCTTATTGAATTTCATAATTAATTACACTATCTAATTAAATTAAATGGATACTAAAAAATAATTTTCTCATCTATTTAGAATAAAAATTAATTTTTTTCTAATAAAATAATATAAGTTTATTTAACTAACAAATTAAGATCATATTATTATTAAATTAAAATAACATTGAAAACAGAAATACAAATAATATACTTTGAGAGTTAAATTAGAAAAACTTCAGATATATTGTTCTTGCGAATAAGTTTGCCCAAATAAATCATATTAAGCTAGCATTCTTAGTTTTATTTGAATTTTAATAAAAGAAATTAGCATAATGCTTTTCAATATAATTTAAAAGATGAAGAAGGATTAATTCAATTGATGAGGATATTGGGAAAAATTAGAGATTTGCATCTAGAATTAATAAGAGAGTGTAAAAGAAATAGTTGAAGGATTTAATTAATTAATTCAAAGGCTTAGAAATAAAATGGTAATACAATTATCAACAGAGACTGTAAAAAGAAAATTGAACAGAATTTGAAGAAAATATAAGACGAAATCTATCAATTTTTAAATGAATTTGAAAAAAGGCATAGAAGTAGAAGTGAAGAATTGTTTAAAAAATATTTTAGTTAAATTAAATATTATATTAATGAATTAAGAGCTACGGTTGTATAACATCATTATTTATTTTTAAAAGAAATTAAGTTATCAAGAAATAAAAAAGAAATTATACAACAACAACAAAAAGACAGATTATTATTCAAATACCCAACCGAATAAGATAGAAGTCAAGAAATGATTATAAAGATATATATAAAAAAGATATGGAGGGAGTGTTAATTAAGATAAAAAAAATTAAAGAAAAATTTAAAAGATTTTCGTGCTCCTTTAGAGATCTTGAATTAACTTCTACCTGATCCCACAAAATTTAACTTAAACCCAAAACAAGTTTTAGACCTTCATATTAGAAATTGACTAACAAACCTTTTAAAAAAATTAAGAAAATAATTCGATTTAAGAAAATATATTCAGTAAGCAACCTATAATAAAACCATTATATGGATATTAGGTTTTACAATACTCTATTTAAGTGCTTTTAAAAAAGAATAGAAATTTAGTTACAATTTTAACCAAATATACTTTATTATAAATATAAATGGATGAGCAAAATTTCTTGAGAATTATTCTTTTCTCTTAATATTAAATGAAAAATTATCTATACTTATTCCTAAAATTTGGATTTTTAGAGAAAAAATAAAATAATACAGACTAAATTTTTATTTATAAATATATTGTCAATCTAAAATTTATGTATTCTATATTATTAAAGAATCATGCGATGCAAATTTTGTCTTGAATTCTGAATAACATATATTCCATCAATTAAAATCAATTCCAAATCTACATAAAGACTGAGATTCTACATTAAAAAATTACACAAGATACTTTTATTGATTCGTAGTATAAACTCAAAGTAAAGTATTAGAAATTCAATAATTTAAAAAAAAAAGATTATGAATTGCACTTATCATATACAAAATCAAATATCGTTAATATGTAGAGCTCCTCATAAGTGTAAATGTTAAAGAAAACTTTGTGCCGAATGCCAAGATACACATGGAGTGGATTCTAAATATATAGTATCAATTAAAAAATTCAGAGATATGGTTAACAAGAAATTAACAGAGGAAAAGCTTGATGAGAAATAATCTGAGTTAATCAAATAAAGAATGAATTTTAAATCCGTGCTCTCTTAAACTGAAAATATGCTGAAGTAAATTTGGGAAGAATTATCATAATCAATATAATAAATTTACAATTAGATTTAATAGGAAAATAATTAATACATTAATCTTTTCGACGAAAATGCCAATCTAGCAGAATCCTCATATACTGACTTAGAAAAATTAGTCTCTATTGTAGAAGGAACTACTTTTAATTAATGGAATGACTAGAATAAGTCTTCGATTATAAAATTAGAAAAGACCAAGAATTTTTGGGAATAAGAAACTTACGTTTTTAGTTAAAAGATGAAGAAAGAAATGAAAAAAATATAGACATCAATTAAGTAATAATAAAAATAATATAGAATTCAACAAGTTTAGGAATGGAAGGAAAATCTGAATGAGATTCTTGCAAACATGAAAGACATCAATGAATCAATATTCAGTGTCATTATTGAGATGTTAAAAAATTAGAAAATTTCTGATTGTCTAGGTTATCTCTAATAAAATGCTATTCCAAAGTTCTATGAACAATAAATTAATCAGGCATAGAACTCAAATGGCGGAAAAAATAACATTAAGTTTTTTGCTAATATTATTAAAAACATTCACGAAGATGGATTTAATTACATTGACTATTCAACTGAAGATTATAAATAAACAAGAGAAGTTATCATTAAGACAATATCTAAAAATAAGAAGATCATTTAATTTTTAATATTTTTAGTAAACCTAACAGCTATTGATAAAAGATTCATATAAAGTGGATCAAATTCACTTACCTTATTAGTTTAGATGAAAGTAGATTTGATGAATTATTCTTTTGAAAATATCAGGATCAAAAATACTTCATTGGTTGGTGCTAATATGGTAAGATGTAATTTAAGTGGATCATAATTTGAGAATGTAGATATTAGTGGGATGAATATGAATGGTGCTTAATTATTTGACTGTAAATGGAAGAATATTAAAATAAATGAATTGAGTTATTTAGAGGGTCATCATGTGCTACTCTCCTGATGGTACTACAATAGCATCTGGTATTGGAGATAAGTCTATCCGTTTATGGGATGTTAAGGCAGGATAATAAAAATAAAAATTAGAAGGTCATAGTGGATGGATTTAATCAATATGTTATTCTCCTGACGGTACTACATTGGCATCAGGTTGTGATGATAGCTCTATTCGTTTATGGGATGTTAGAACAGGATAATAACTAGCAAAATTAGATTGCCATAATAGTTCGGTCCAATAATTATGCTTCTCTAATGATGGTAATTCATTAGCATCCGGTAGTTATGATAAATCTATCCGTTTCTGGGATGTTAGGACTGGAAAAGAAATTTATTCCTCTTCTAACACATATAAAGATATTAAAGTAAAATTTAAACAACCCCTTTTTCCAGAAAGTAATATTTATTTTAATTAGTTAAAACTTATATTTCAATTCTTTATATACCCCAATCCCCAATATTTTAAGCATAAGGTGCTGTAATTCTCAAAGGAGAATTTAGCAGTTAATCAGGAATTGATTTACCATCATTCTTCAAATCTAAAGGATGTTGCGTTTTGGAAACCCAATTTAACTTTAAGTAAAGTTAGAATTGATTATTATCAAAGCATTACAAATATATATATCTTTTTTTTCGAGTAATATGTAATTGTATTCTGTGAATGCCGGGTTAAACATTAAAAAATCTTTATAGAAAAATGAAATTAATAGTTAAATCTATAAAAATATAATGTTTATAGGATATATTCAAAGGAATCATAAAAACAATCAAAAGAAAAAACTAAGTATTTATAATTAGTATTTAATATGTGACATAATTATATATTATCACAAATTAATTATAAATGAGAATAATTTCATAGATTAAGTATTCTATTTACAGGTTGATAAGTTCCATTCATTCGAGCAAAAAGAATAATTCACAATAAAAGCAGTTCTTAAGGAAAATGAAACTTTGACATTTATATTCCAATGGTATGAATTCTTTTCCTTAAGCAATCTAGATTGCACTAAAAAAGAAAAAATTTTAAGTAATAATTTGAATATATGTAAAAATTAAAAAAACAGGTGAGTTTCTTTTAGAATTTTATAAATTTAACAGAAACTATAAATTATTAATCATATGATTGTACACATTGGAATTCCTTACATTCACAAACCCTAATGATTATTAATATTAAATATAATAACGTGGATGAGACTTCTCATTTATTGTGGGAATTCTTTCAGACTCTTCATTTTTTATCAAGGAATAGTCAAATATTTTGTAACTAGAATGTGAAAACTCTACATTTAGAATATTAGAGGGAAGACCCTTCTTATATTATCGAACAAGAAGAATTAAATAAAATAATGATTGGATAGATGTATTCACCTAAACTGAAGCTTTTAATAAAAGAGAAATAATAAATGTATTTTTTTCATTTAAGAGTATTTGGTTGAGAATTTGGTCAAATAGAAATATCTAAATTCAATCCATACGAATTAAAAGATTACTTATGCTTTGAATAGTATTTCTAAGTGATAAATAGTTCTACATAATTTAAAGACGGTTTGTGTAAAATATGAGTTTATAATCTGAAATTCCATTAAAGCTTCAATATTGCCAATTTCATAAGTATTAATAAAAAAATGATGAATGTATGAATTCAAAGAAGATTAATTCAATTAAATATTGATTTTTTTATACTTTTAAATGATACATGTATTTAAAAAAGTACAAAAGTTATTGGAAAATTTACACAAGACATCCTTCAGATCCATAATTTGATAAAGAAAATTTTAATGGATCTTGAAAATTGTCGATGATTTTTTGAGTCTTTGGAACAAACCTAATTAATTTATTTCAGGAGTCAAGATTATTCATAGCAGTAATTATACTGAATCAAAAAATAGAATGTGTTTACTAAAGAATGTGCCTTTATTACTACCTTAATGACTTTGATTATAATTCAACAATTCAGCCAATATGTAATTCGAAAAAAGGGTTTGGCATATGGAGAATTCTGAAAGGATGTAAAAAGCAAGCAAAAGGAATTTTTATTAGGTTTGCACTGTAATGAGGAAAAGTAAAAGGTCCTTAAAATTGGTCAGATATAAATAGGATAATTCATAGTGAATTTTAAGGAATCTATCAATCTTATGATAGCTTTCAATATTGCTCTGGCCACTTGTGAGTTAAAGCAAAGAATAAGGGATTAATGAAATTTATAAATATATTCTACTGAAGATTAATTTATTAGATAGCACAGCTATTTTTATATTTCTATTTTATTTGCAAGCTTATTGATAAAATGAGACATGCCCACTTCATGACATCCTTATCTTGTTTAACTATTAGTAAATGAAGTACAAGCAATTATTTTAAGTTGCTTCAAAATTAAATTATTTCAACATTAATGGCAATCCAAAAATATTAATCATTTCATCATCAACAATGAGGATGGTCTTACACTTGCAATCAAGGGCATAAGGTTCACTTACTTCAACTAATTGTTATCTTAGTTAATGAATTATATTACTAGGACTATATTTAAATTATTTCATACTACCTTTGAAAGTAGACATTTGAGCACTACTTTTTACTTCATGAAGAATTTTAATAATCTTGAATACTTCTAAAACTAAATGCAATATATTATCCATAATTAGGTTTATGCAAATAACTCTGCCATTGCGTTTCTAGATAAATAGCTTTCTAAAGTAATTTTTGACTTATAAATGGGAGCTTAATATTTTCAATTAGACATCTATTGTCAAGCCTAGATTTTTTAATTGTGCATGAAAAACTAAATAACTACTTTTCTCCCATAAGTTTTTTTCTCCTATTTATCCAGCATTAAATATTCTAAATTCAAATAAAATAAACTCATCTTTGTTTATAATGATATTTCCATTTATATCACCATGAAAATTTACAATTAACACATCATTCTCTTGAACATAATACTATTTAATATCATTAACTACAAGATACAAAGGTACTTATGACAAAAAATCAATAAAGTAATAATTTAGATCGTATTATGGTTTTACCTTGAAAACTTCCAGAAAATTTATGGGCACTGACAGATATGAACCATAACTGAATTAAATTTCTGGAATAAACCGGAAACTGATCTAATACACTTTCTGCGCGTTTGAAGGATAAATATTTCTATATCCAAACCACTCCATTTATCTTCTCCAAAAAATCCCATAATGAATTAATTAGGTGATTTTTATTTAATAAAAAATAATTGTCGAATTTAAATTTACCTCTCTATTTATTTCTGCTATTCTAATATGAACCTACAACTTAGTTCAATAAATATAGCGTACCTAAAGATTTATATCAATTTGTAAAGTATCATAACTAAATTTCAGTCAGTCATTTGTTTTCAGTTGAATGGTAAAAAATTTCAGAAAGTTTACTCCATCTGAAATTTGTTTAAACTTTTATAATTATCCTCGAGTACAATTTTATTAACTTTTTGTGTTTGATTTTTTGTCTTTCTAGCATACATTTCATGAAATAGTTTAAGAAAGCATCTTATCAACTATTCGATTAAATTCTTCATTCCAATAATTTTTAATAAACTTAACTCTTAAGTTATTATTTGATTAGAGGATAATTCTAATTCATGCTACATCAGGTACTATTAGGATAAGCAGAATTAGATAGAAATTCCCATAATATTAAATGTATGTTCCTTGAAGCGCTAATTCCTTTAGCCACATATCAATATTATTATTTATACAAGAAAATAATCATTTGGATGATTATAAATTACCTTTTCAATTTAATTGATCTTTTGAACTATTTTCCACATAGTAAAAAACTACATGTTTATGAAATGGATAGTAATACTATATAGTAGATTAAGATTAAGCAAGGTTTTTAAAATGTGGTTCAAACGATGATTTTTATTTATTTCCTTAATAATCTTTAAGTCAAAATGCATCTTGGTGAATAAAAATGGCAATTATGCTAATTAAATGACGAAGATGTTAATGATAAGTAGCTAGTTGTTGGTATTTAGCAAATTCTCTATTGATTTTTAAATAAATATCTTCTCACTTTTGGTTCTTTAAATAATACCTCAAAATTGACACAAAAAATTATATACTTAATTTGATGAGTGTATATTTAATAATTCACATTGTGTGCAGTATCGTTATATATAATTCCAACACTCTTCGAAATTTGCTTATTATTATAGTGGAGGAAGTGCTTGTAATTCACCTTAACAACATATACAATCAGAATATATTTCTAGTACATTTGCAAGACTTCCAAAGAGAATAATTTAATTGCTGAAATGATAGGTCTCGAGTAGATTTAAATAAAGACCTGAATAATCTAATCCTAAAAATAGCTTATTTTGAGATCAAGCTCCCTCAAAGTCATTCGCTATTAAATAAAAAAATTCTTTTTTGCTTCTACGTTTCTCTATATAATAACACTAGCTATTTTTTAGATAAACTTATCAAGAAATGTTACCTGTAGAAAATTTATATGTACAATTTAATTCGCTCATCAATAGCATATCAACAGAACCTTATATATTTTTCCTATTCAAATTCGTAAAATTTTAATTTTTATTCTCTCTTTATGGATATAGACTACTCTATCTTATTTCAATAAGAATTCAATCAATTTTCAAAGATTTTGTCATCTAAATAATTTTCTATCCTGCTATCTGTTGGCAGATATACTCTCTAGATTGGGAATGATTTTTTCTTCGTATTAAAGATACAGTCTAAAGTATCTAATTTTGTAAGACTTTTTAATTTTGTGGTATAAATTGAATGATCCAAAAAGCAATTTAGATTCTCAGCTCAGCTCTGAGGAATTCGCTTAAAATTCTTTTAACATTAAGGGCTTAAAATATAGTGGGCAGTTTCTGCTATTTTATCTTATTTCCCCTTCTCAATCAAGATATGAATTTGGTTACAATATCGACCCATTAGTCTTGATTAACTTCATTTATCTAAAAATTTGATCTGAATTCTATAAAATTTTATAAACTATGTTTGGCTATTACTTAAAGAAGAAAAGACAGATCATCGTTCCATTTTTCACTTTCATTGGTAAAGCGCTCTTGTACCTTTATTTAAAAATCAACTTCTTTGAATTGGGTCTTTTATTCCTTCTAGGAATCTAGATTGAATTTTAAAAAGATTATTGAATTTGGAAAAAATAAAAAAAATAAATTTGAATCCATTTTTTAAGTAATTAATTACTCTTACTTATTGGATCTTTTTAATATTATGCAATTTTACATATTTTATTTTTATTAATTATGTTAACAGCTAAATAATCGCAAACAACACATAACAACAGAAAATTGCATAAATTGATATTTATACTCTAAAATGGTTTATATAATAAAAAATTTTTCAAGGGCTGTTCTTCAAAACAATAAATTTTTCATTACTTTATATTTAAGTTTACAATCCTTTAAGTACTAAATCAAAAATGGATCTGTATACTCTTAAATTCCTTGAAAAATCAAAATGGGAATTATCTTTTTTATCATTTTTAAGAGGCTCTTGAGTATATCCATAATATAAAGCATTCTGTTGTTAAAGTTCTTATGTGTATTAAAAGTTATTAATGGTCTTATCCTCATTATAGTAAACCATTATATGTAGATAATATGAATAATCCTCAAGATAATCAAGCAATATTGCTGTATTTCTTCATTAAATTATGAAAAATGAAAGTAAAAAAAGTTATAAAATGAATCATTATCAAAAATATTGTTGTCATATTCATAATGCTATTAAAGCAAATAAAATTGCCAATAATCTCTAACACATTTAAGCTAACTTTATTTTTTTAACTATCGGATAAAGAGATGATTTTGATCACAATATGAAACTGGTGCTAATATTTAAGCATTTCTTGATGTATCTTCTAAGTAAAATTTAATACTAAATATGTGTATTCTAAGAATATATTATTTGATTACAATGAGACAGTCCTAGAGTAAGCATTCCTAATATATAATATCCAGTAACAATATCATTTTCTTATTGATACTCATGAAAAATCTAAAATAAATTATTAAAGTTGTCAACTATTGTTTATCAGTTTTATTACAAACTAAGTCACATTAAATAGCATATTAAATTTGATGAGTAATCAAAATCAAAAATTTTATTTTGGATTTCTTTTTTTCATTAATTTAATGNATATAGACTACTCTATCTTATTTCAATAAGAATTCAATCAATTTTCAAAGATTTTGTCATCTAAATAATTTTCTATCCTGCTATCTGTTGGCAGATATACTCTCTAGATTGGGAATGATTTTTTCTTCGTATTAAAGATACAGTCTAAAGTATCTAATTTTGTAAGACTTTTTAATTTTGTGGTATAAATTGAATGATCCAAAAAGCAATTTAGATTCTCAGCTCAGCTCTGAGGAATTCGCTTAAAATTCTTTTAACATTAAGGGCTTAAAATATAGTGGGCAGTTTCTGCTATTTTATCTTATTTCCCCTTCTCAATCAAGATATGAATTTGGTTACAATATCGACCCATTAGTCTTGATTAACTTCATTTATCTAAAAATTTGATCTGAATTCTATAAAATTTTATAAACTATGTTTGGCTATTACTTAAAGAAGAAAAGACAGATCATCGTTCCATTTTTCACTTTCATTGGTAAAGCGCTCTTGTACCTTTATTTAAAAATCAACTTCTTTGAATTGGGTCTTTTATTCCTTCTAGGAATCTAGATTGAATTTTAAAAAGATTATTGAATTTGGAAAAAATAAAAAAAATAAATTTGAATCCATTTTTTAAGTAATTAATTACTCTTACTTATTGGATCTTTTTAATATTATGCAATTTTACATATTTTATTTTTATTAATTATGTTAACAGCTAAATAATCGCAAACAACACATAACAACAGAAAATTGCATAAATTGATATTTATACTCTAAAATGGTTTATATAATAAAAAATTTTTCAAGGGCTGTTCTTCAAAACAATAAATTTTTCATTACTTTATATTTAAGTTTACAATCCTTTAAGTACTAAATCAAAAATGGATCTGTATACTCTTAAATTCCTTGAAAAATCAAAATGGGAATTATCTTTTTTATCATTTTTAAGAGGCTCTTGAGTATATCCATAATATAAAGCATTCTGTTGTTAAAGTTCTTATGTGTATTAAAAGTTATTAATGGTCTTATCCTCATTATAGTAAACCATTATATGTAGATAATATGAATAATCCTCAAGATAATCAAGCAATATTGCTGTATTTCTTCATTAAATTATGAAAAATGAAAGTAAAAAAAGTTATAAAATGAATCATTATCAAAAATATTGTTGTCATATTCATAATGCTATTAAAGCAAATAAAATTGCCAATAATCTCTAACACATTTAAGCTAACTTTATTTTTTTAACTATCGGATAAAGAGATGATTTTGATCACAATATGAAACTGGTGCTAATATTTAAGCATTTCTTGATGTATCTTCTAAGTAAAATTTAATACTAAATATGTGTATTCTAAGAATATATTATTTGATTACAATGAGACAGTCCTAGAGTAAGCATTCCTAATATATAATATCCAGTAACAATATCATTTTCTTATTGATACTCATGAAAAATCTAAAATAAATTATTAAAGTTGTCAACTATTGTTTATCAGTTTTATTACAAACTAAGTCACATTAAATAGCATATTAAATTTGATGAGTAATCAAAATCAAAAATTTTATTTTGGATTTCTTTTTTTCATTAATTTAATGTTAAAAATAAAATTTTTTTGATTGAAATCCTACCTTTTTAGCTAGATTTGCTTCAACACAGATAATAGATCATCCAATAAATCTAAATTTGCTTATTTTTATAATCAGTGAATGTAATATTGAAAGCACATTTGAATTTAAAACAATAATTTAAACTGTATAATTATCATGTTAAATTATTTAAGGAGAACTAATTTTTATAAAGTAAAGACATTGGCTTGTTTTTTTTACTATACAATCTCTATTTAGAGATACACAAGCTTTCTATCCTCCATAAAGTGTGATTCTCTTTTCTCACATCTCAGTGTGATCTTAAAACTTTATTGAAAATAGATCTGTCTCCAATTATGTTGGATTCAATACTTTTTTATACTGAGATATTCAAATTTATTATCANAATTTTAAAAAGATTATTGAATTTGGAAAAAATAAAAAAAATAAATTTGAATCCATTTTTTAAGTAATTAATTACTCTTACTTATTGGATCTTTTTAATATTATGCAATTTTACATATTTTATTTTTATTAATTATGTTAACAGCTAAATAATCGCAAACAACACATAACAACAGAAAATTGCATAAATTGATATTTATACTCTAAAATGGTTTATATAATAAAAAATTTTTCAAGGGCTGTTCTTCAAAACAATAAATTTTTCATTACTTTATATTTAAGTTTACAATCCTTTAAGTACTAAATCAAAAATGGATCTGTATACTCTTAAATTCCTTGAAAAATCAAAATGGGAATTATCTTTTTTATCATTTTTAAGAGGCTCTTGAGTATATCCATAATATAAAGCATTCTGTTGTTAAAGTTCTTATGTGTATTAAAAGTTATTAATGGTCTTATCCTCATTATAGTAAACCATTATATGTAGATAATATGAATAATCCTCAAGATAATCAAGCAATATTGCTGTATTTCTTCATTAAATTATGAAAAATGAAAGTAAAAAAAGTTATAAAATGAATCATTATCAAAAATATTGTTGTCATATTCATAATGCTATTAAAGCAAATAAAATTGCCAATAATCTCTAACACATTTAAGCTAACTTTATTTTTTTAACTATCGGATAAAGAGATGATTTTGATCACAATATGAAACTGGTGCTAATATTTAAGCATTTCTTGATGTATCTTCTAAGTAAAATTTAATACTAAATATGTGTATTCTAAGAATATATTATTTGATTACAATGAGACAGTCCTAGAGTAAGCATTCCTAATATATAATATCCAGTAACAATATCATTTTCTTATTGATACTCATGAAAAATCTAAAATAAATTATTAAAGTTGTCAACTATTGTTTATCAGTTTTATTACAAACTAAGTCACATTAAATAGCATATTAAATTTGATGAGTAATCAAAATCAAAAATTTTATTTTGGATTTCTTTTTTTCATTAATTTAATGTTAAAAATAAAATTTTTTTGATTGAAATCCTACCTTTTTAGCTAGATTTGCTTCAACACAGATAATAGATCATCCAATAAATCTAAATTTGCTTATTTTTATAATCAGTGAATGTAATATTGAAAGCACATTTGAATTTAAAACAATAATTTAAACTGTATAATTATCATGTTAAATTATTTAAGGAGAACTAATTTTTATAAAGTAAAGACATTGGCTTGTTTTTTTTACTATACAATCTCTATTTAGAGATACACAAGCTTTCTATCCTCCATAAAGTGTGATTCTCTTTTCTCACATCTCAGTGTGATCTTAAAACTTTATTGAAAATAGATCTGTCTCCAATTATGTTGGATTCAATACTTTTTTATACTGAGATATTCAAATTTATTATCAAACTGATTACTATAATAATTCGAAAATAATTAAAAAAAAACATCCTATAAGTGACTTTATAATGAGGTTACCGAAAAAATATTCTTTTTTTAAGTGTTAGAAAATGTAAATAGTTCTTATCCAACATATACTGATGAGAACATACTTTTATTGGCCTCTTGTCCATCAATTTTGAAAGAGCCACTATATACAGAAATCTCTTGCTATAAAGCAATAAAAATATGTATTTCCCACAAGTTTCCCCCAAATAAATTTCAAATATTAAGTTTTTGGAAACATGTTTCGTAGTTACAAAAATTAAGGTTATTTAAAATGAGCCAAAATTCTGAAACTGAATTTTAGGTTCAATATATAGGTATCCACTTTCTGATATTTATTGATATTTATCTAATTATTTTATATTTTTATTTCTTTATTTTCTATGTTTAAAATAGTTTGTTATATTATAAACAGATATCTATATATGAATTACAGTTTAAATTCAATAATAAACAAAAAAGTAAGTAAATGAATTGGAAAAATTATTTCGACAACCCTAAATGTATATATGTATCTTCCATAATACAAAATAATAAAAAATATCAATCTTGCCAAGATCTATGAAACTCAACTAAATACTATATCTAAAACTGATCTAAAATTGATTTTTTAAAGACAATAATATTTCTTCTGTCTAATTATTGATATCATTTTCAAAAATGCTCTCTACCTTGCCTATATCTTAATTGATCCTATTCGATCAATAAACTCATTTTTCAATTTTAATCGTTTTATATTAATATGGTGTTGAGTATTTTTGTGTTTGCGAGTTCAACTATTAAACTTCGACTTTAATCAGGTTCAATATGAAAATAATCGTATGTGCAATCAACCTAATAGGCCCATTAAATCTACCCCGTGATATATATCATCAGAGACTAAATCTAAATTTTACCTATATTAGCTTCAACTATTGAAAAAGCACTTAATTCAGTTAGCTTATAATAAACTAAATTGATAAGTATCTTTCTTAATTTTTTGAGAAATTAATTGCCAAATTATTTTTATGATAGTTAAAAAGCACAATTGTATTAAAGGAAATAAATATGCATCATCCTTTTCATCTTTTTAAGCCCATATAAATACTTTACTTATTGCAATTGATCACCCATTCTTTGCTAGTCTTCAAAAATATGAAAATTTTCCAATCTAACCCATTTTAATAAGACGAAAAATAGTATTTTCACTAAATCGCTATAGTTAATTTTTTACTCAATTTTTGGAATCATCAAGTTTCTTTTAGATCTCCCAATAGTTTGATAATTTTGGTAAATGCTTCTCTTTTAGTTTATGATTTTTTTTATCGATGTTTATTTTAAATAATGTATATTTGTTAAATTTATAATTTGTGTCAAACTCATTTTGCTATATTAATGAATTGATGTCTATCATTAGAATTTAAACAAGTTATTCTATTAAAATAAAAATTAAATAAAAAAACTAGATTCAATAAATCTAAAATTATTGAATTGAAAAATTATACTTTTGTTATTTTTATCTCATTAAAGATTTGAAATTTTCATCATAAAATAAGTTGAAGTATCAATTATAAAATTACCAACTACTTTCCTTAATATAATCACTAATTAGTTTTCGATTTAACCAAAAATAAAATGATATTTATGTTGCTAATACTTTTTTTTTTATATCATATTATTCAAAAACATTTAGAAGTAATTAGAAAATATCTTTTACTCACAATTAGCTACCCAAGTATTATAATTAAGAAGAAAATTATTGGAATTTACAAGTTTATATGTACTCAAAAATATCACCTTTTTCTCATAAATCATCTAATGTATAAAAGGCTATTTAATAAATTAATATTTAAGTTAGTCTTAAAGAAATTTTATTATTCATTACTTTAACTATTTTCACCACAATTTATAAATCCGATACTTATCGTAAATATTAAGGAGCGAGATAGATTTTGTTCAAGCGGATTACTATCTCTTTATTTTTAGTTAAAAATTAAACTAATTAATGCATAAAAAAGATAAACTCAAAAAATTATAAAACTCTGGTCTATTTCAAATTTAGTATTAGTTTATAAATTAAATTATCAATTCTATATCATCAAAGAAAAAAAAATGCCAATTTAATTAAATGATAGTTTTTTAACCTTTTCAAAGTAGATCTTTGTTGTTTTTTGTAAAGAGCTTAATACAGTTTTTATATAATAAGACTAAAAAAAGTAATAGAAGTTCATTTTTTAATTAATAATATAATGTACGAAGGAATCAAAAGAAGAGTTGTTTTAGATTTTGGTACAAGTGACAAAAAAAAATTAATGAATTAATTTCATTTTGAGGATTGAACTCTTTAAAACATATGAAATTTCAGATGGTTTAAAATTTCTTGAAGCTAACAAACCTTTGGAATATCATGAAAATTAAAAATAGAAGTGTGATGTTATTAAAAATAACATTAAGAAAACTATTTTATAATTAAAATAAGTATCTGAACATGAATTTAATAAAAATGACTATTCAAGGTAATTAAAAAATATGAAAATATTAGAAGATTATAAAATGGTTATAATTTAAGTTCTTCTCACCTCTGTAGACTAAAAATTCAAATATGAAGTTCAAATTCAATAAATTTATTAGTTGAAATGAAGATTCATATCAGAAAGCAATGTTTTTAAAGTATAAGAATTAAGAATTCAAATTAATTGGATATAATTTTGTGAAATGTAATTTGAGTGGATCTGAATTTGGAAATGTCGAAATTAGCGGACTAAATTTGAATGAAGCTTAATTATACATAAATTAGAGGTCGTAGTATTTAAGTTCTTTAAGTATGATTCTCTTCTGGTTGTATTACGTTAGCTTCTGGTAAAAATTAAAATATTTAGATTTTCTTTATATTAATTAAAACAATTTTGAGTGGTAACTTAATATATTTAAAAACTTTAAATTTGTTTGGTGGATGTAATCAAAAAAATCAGTTTAGCATTGCT